ATATGCACACACAGTGGATTTTATATCTTCTCGTTAGGTGTTTTTCTAAGTGATGTTGAGGTAACTTGGTGCAATTTCATCGTCGTGCTCTCCATTTTTGTGATTTTCTATGCTGAACTATAGTTTATTGCTAGTTGCAATATATTTTTTGTTACATTCAGAATGTCGTGTGTATTTATTTGTTTTGTGTTCATATTCATTTACTTACTATAGGGTTTACGATTGTTCTACTGTGATATTATGTGATCTTCCCTTTGAAGATTGAATAACTGATGATGTTTTATAACTATTTGTTTAAGATATCCGTCTTTACAAGTTGTAGTTATTTTATAGCATTTGCGTGTCTGAGAAATGAAGGTTGATTTATTTGATGTTGACTCTATAGTAAATACACACACATAGTTATTGTTTCTGCTCTTTAGGTGTTTATTTAGGGCTATTGAGGCAACAAAACGCAATTTTGTATCCATGTTCATCATTTTCATAATTTTCTCTGTCGGACATCTGTTTGTTCCTAGTTGTGACTTAGTTTTATGTTTCTTCTAATGATGACTTTCGAGTCTAATTTCTTGTTCTGTGTGCATATGTATGTGTGTTACTTTCGTTTTAATGATATAACTGCGGATGCTTTCTAGCTATTCATTTTGGATCTTTGGGAAGCTCATTTTAATTTCATAATTTTGTTTTTAATTTCCATGATTTTCTTTGTCAAACTGTCTATACTATTCCTAGTTTATGTATAAACTTGTAGAGGAAACGAAAGATGATTTTGTATTGAATTTGAAGTTGTATTTAAATCCATGAATTAAGTAACTAACTTCCTAGGAGTGCTACTTACATTAAGGATATTTTTTCAAATGAGGTAACTGATAAATACTATCAAGCTAATCTCGTAAATAATCATAAGATCTAATCTAGTAGATAAACAGAAGTGGTGGGGTGTAACACCTCTAATAGTTGGATTTTAGCTTCTTCGTTTGTCATGCATATTTGTCTTGTGTTATGTGTATAAAGTATGGATGTTACATTGAAGCTTATGATTACTCTATTGTCTTTCTATTTGATTTATCTATGATCTAATTGATGATGCTTTCTAGTTATTCTTTTAAATCTTTTCTGGTAGCTCATTATTTCATTTAAGTTTCTTTGTCAAGTTATCTAGTCTATTCCTATTTCTAAATTTAGCTTTTCAAATTGTGTATATCTCTACGTTCTGTGTGGGAATGCCTGTCTGTTATTTTTAGTTTGACGTTTTCAATCTTTAATTTGTCATTACTCTATTGCGTATCTATGCTTTGTAATTGAGCTAGTTGATGTGTGTCTCTATATGTGCTTTTTTAGGGTTCTGCTTGTGCACTGTCCAATTTCACCTTGTTATTAATTTTAATGTAACTATCAATCTATTCCTAGTTGCGTCTTAGTATTTTGATTTTTGTGTCTATTTCCTTGTTTAATGTGTATTAGTGCATGTTTAAGAGTTTAAGCTCTTGACCTCCAACTTTGCGATTGTTCTACTGCGTTTGTATGCATCTTTCAAGTTTATTGATGCATGTCTCTGTAGGTGTTGTGTATGGCTCTTCTGGTAGCTCATTTCAATTTTTTCGTCTTGCTCTACAGTTTCATAGTTTTGATTGTTGAACTATGTATTTATTCACATTCTTCTCATTTCTCATTTTGACATCCTCGTGTTTTGTTATAGATGCACGTATATGTTCAGGATTCTGGTTTCCATCTCAAACTTTGTGATAATCATACTATGTTTTAAATGTACTCTTGGTGTTATCGAGTTAATTGTTTTGTGCCTCTATAGGTGTCTTTTTTTTTTGTTGATAAGGTTAGATGTTTCGTTCAAAAAAGAGCATCAAGTAGATGCATAGTTACAAGGAAAGGAAAAAGCATTAACAAAAGAACTAATGAATCCCTTTTTTAGTGTCAATCTGAGGCAAGGTATCTTACAAAATCCAACCACTAATTAGTGCTAATTCCAGTAGTCATATTAGTTCAGCAAAAATTTATAAAGTAAGCACTTGATTTTGAGGGAGTATTTGGAGTTGAAATATAAAATAAGCACTTGACTTTGAGGGAGTGATTTTGAGTTGGGATTCCATCAAAACACCTCTTGTTCCTAGCAGCAGGTATCTTCCACCAAATCCTTTTGATGGCTTTATCAACTCTCCATAAGCTATAGTTCAAGTGTGCCTCAGATCTGTGGCTACTGTGCAGTACAATACAAATGGTTTACAGTTTCCATCTTCTCCAAACGTAGATAGCACCTGTATACAAACTAGAAACCTTTCCCATTGAGATTGTCTCGAGTCAAACATGCTTCATAGGTGTCTTTTTAGGGATTTTCAAGTCTCATTCCAATTTCGTCTCAAACTATCTTATCTTATTCATAGTTGTGATTTAGTTTTTTAGTTTTTCTGTCTTTTCCTTGTGTTCTGTTTATAAAATGCATACTTAGGCTTTTGTCCTCCGTGGCAATTCATTAATGTGCTTCTATATAATTTCTCAGTGTGATTGAGCTAATTGATGGGTGCCATGATAGGTTTTATTTGCAGCTCTTCTGGTAGTTTATTTCAATTTTATCTTTCCATTCTTCATTTTCTTGATTTCTCTTTGTTAAAGACTCTCTCTCATCTTAGCTTCTAAATTTTTGTGTCTATCTTGCTTGTGTTCTGTATGAAGAGTTTTTTTGTTCCAAGTAAGTATAATTATTCACTGATACAGTTGGTTGCCAACGAGGCTTGGTCCAATTTCTGAAGCAAAGTGCCAGTCTGCTAACCTTCCAATTGAAAAGTGGACTTCTTAAACCCAAGTTTCATGCGTTTCCTTCCCTCGTTGGAACAATAATTGTTACTGAGTCTGAATGATCAGGAAGCTTCAATTTTAATGGTGTAAACATCCATTATGCGTTTTTCCATATGTTGATTGATACCCTTCTCCAAATAACTTGTAAGAAGTTATTATTATGTAGTTGAAGGTTTCTTATCCCAAGACAGCCTTCTCTTTTTTATCTTACAGGGTCATTTCCATGGTATGCCTTCTCCTTTATCCTATAGGGTCATTTCAACTATATGCCTTCTCTTTTATCTTATAGGGTCATTTCCACTGTATGAACTGCTGTGTACTTTGTTATAATTTATATGACATGTTTTTCATTTTGAGACATTCTGGAATGTTACACCATCTCACACGAACTTTGTTTTAATTTATACCTCACTTCCACCATTTTAAGACGCCTTAAAGTGTTAAACCATCTCATGCAAAGCTTCTGTCATTTTATTTGTAATGTGTACTACTACTCTCTATCAATATAGTAGTACTGAAATTTTCTTTCAGTTATGTTCATGTGAGGTATTACTGCTTCCATAAGTTAATTATGCCAATTATTTCTGTGTGATGATATCATCCATTTGGTGTCCTACATTAATACCTTTTTTATAGTTCATTAAACTTTTTCTTTTTCTTTAAATTTTGCAGCTAAAGTGTGGCCATTGTGGTGAAATCACCCAAAAGGAGACTTATGTTAGCTTGGTTGAAACTGTTCCTCTTCCTATTGGCAAGGGCCACACCCACCTTATCCAGAAGGTGACCTATCCTCCTGTTTCCTTTGTGACGATATAATCTACTGCGTCAGACATTTCTCTATGCATATCTGAGTGCATATTTGTTAGTTTAGATATGACCCAGAACTAGTTTACACTGAATTTAAAATCACTGTGACAGCCTGGAATTTGAGGTGAGATACAGAGTTAATTAGGATATCTTTAACATTCAGAATGGGTTAAGCCATAGTAAATGCCCCTGTTGTTGTTTCTTAGCTCAACATGTTGAATAATTTTTTATATCCTTGGAAGTCTGTTTTGAGCCTTAATTGGTACCTTCTTTTTTGTTTTTTCTCCTTTGATATCCTATTGCTATTTTGCAGCTCTTGATGTTGCATAGATTTGATTGATTACTAAGTCTTTTGTGACTTTTGCTTCCAGTGTAAGTTCTGTGGCAGGGATGGTACAATAACCATGATCACTGGCCGCGGCCGTCCTCTGACTCACGCTGATAGTGAAGCTGGAAAATCTGCACCTTTGATGCTATTTGAGTGCAGGGGTTTTGAGCCGCTGGATTATGTTTTCCAAGGAGAATGGGAAGCTAAATCTGTAAGCTTCTTCCCTGGCTTTCTGCTTTGGTGTTTCTTAAAATTAAAGAAAATTTTTATCATAAAAAAAGTTGTCGAAATATTTAATTCAGGTATGAGATTTCTTTGCCCTATTAATTTTTCATTTGTTTTGAGCTGTTGTTGGGATTCTTAGGATATATTTCTATTTCTTTAACGAGGTCATGTATCTCCTAGTTAACTTCTTGGAGAATATGTTCTGCTTACATGTCTAGAGGTGGCAAGATTATCCCGTGAAATCGTAATCTGCCCATGTTTGGGCTGATTATTGGCCCACACTTCTATTAGCTCAGGCCATCAAAATTTGGGCTAATATTTAGCCCAAATTGGCCACTGAGAAAGCTTGTTGACTATTTTCTAAAGAACTTTTTTTCCAGATATGTTGTATGTAGCTATATTAAAGAAAAGCTATAACTTTATTATCCACATTTCCCAATTTTTAGGTTGTGTTATGGGAGATGTTGTGCCAGTTCTAATTTGATTCACTTAATGCAGCTTGAGGGAACGAAATTTGAAGGCATTGATTTGTCCGGAGATGAGTTCGCTGAGTATGATGAAAAGGGGGAGTGTCCAGTGATGATTTCCAAACCAAGTGCCACTTTTAATGTAGTGAGGTAGATCCAACATTGCTCTATAGTGAAGAAGTGTTAACTGTTTTGCACTCTCAATGTAGAGAGTGCAAGCTGCTAACTGCTGAGGAATGGGTGTGTTGGTTTTTAATGTACATTGCGCACGAACTACTTGCACGAGATTAGATGGTTACTTCCATGAAGAAAACCATTGTTATTTGATGTCAGTATTGTCTTTCAGGGTTTTTCAGAATAGCTTTTTTTTTAGTCATCTAACGTGAAATCTGGTAAAACTGTTTGACTGGATCTATTTTTTTTTTCACTGTGATTGGTGTTGGTTACTATGCTATTTCCCCAAGCTCTTCTTTCTCTCTCTGCTGTCTAGTTGGTTTTACTTCTCTCCTGGCCAGCCACATTGCGTGTAGAGTTTGCTTGATTGATTGAGCTCCTTTTACTTTTTGAACGGAAATATGCAAGTGCATATGGGAACAACTCATTGTGTTTCGAAAGTCCCATTGCAACCGTGAATCCTGATTGATGTGAGGAAAGAAATATATCAGCTTTTCCAATTGATAAAAAAACGTGAAAGATCACGACCAAGATAAAGTGACAATAACCTCATTATCATGCATATGATGTAATAGTACAATAGAAACATTTTTCATCAAGAAAATAAAGGAGAAGATCTGGCAAATGCTGAGACAAGCTGTAGACTCTTCCCACAACATGCTAGACCCATGAAAAAAGAATCAGGCTCCTACTCAAGGGATGTGCTGAGAATATAATTAAGAAAATAAATGTGTACTTTCGCTAATAGCTTAAACTTTTAAATAAGCTGATCACACGCTTTCAACAAGAACTACATCAATTGTGCCAACAGCGTAGAAGAAATAAATTACAGCAGGAATATACCTTAGATGATGAAGCATTAGCGTTCTTTCACCTCTTCAACTAGTTCCTTCCAGGAGGTACCGAAATCAGCTCATGTATGCAGATCGAGGGCCCTGGACAGAAGAATAATGAGAATACACGAAAAGGAAATACGAAAAACAGAGTCTGCAGCCCCAGAAACTGAGTTTGGGGAGGCTGTAAAACAAGAAGTGGTTACATGTCTTCAGGAGAAATGAAAAGATACTAATAAGAGAGCTCCAGACCGAGAATCACATATATATCAATTATAGAGCAATTAAAACAAATACGTTAATTGTAGATGAAGCTTCATTTCTTATGAAAAAGTTTTAACTAGACATCAAACAAGATGGTCCTTTTTACCCGCATAAGGACAAGGCAGAGAGAGCACGCACAGAAAAGTGACATCAGGCCTGAGCACTAATAATAGCAGCCAAAATACAGTGCTTGACCAATGCATTAACAGATAGATTCTTCTTTATTTGATTTATGATGCACTGATAGATTGAAGACAACAAAACTATTTACATTGCTGCATGAGTTCTGACCTTGATTGTAAAGCTGTTTGGCTTTTGTCCACTTGTATCGACCATCTTTCACTTGCTGAAGTTTCCTTTACTAATCAACTGAAAACGGAAAGGAACTAGCCACATCCAGAAGAAGTATTGAAGTCAGAGATAACCATGTTGAAGCAAGATAACTGTGTCCTACCCCGTTTCCAAAACTCCAGTATTTGACAAGGAACTGGCCTCACTTTTCCAACGTAATAGAGTTGACAAGTGCTCCAAATGAGTCTCACTGATGAAGTTTAGTCCTTAGCAATCTCAGTTGTGATGTGACATGTATATCTTTATCCGTTGCTGAAACAGTACAAGACACTTGGATATTCTGACTCTAGAGGTCAGATTCAACAACAGCAGATTATAATCACGAATCATCAGAAATATGTCATCTGAATAGTTTCTTAATCAGATAAGGGTTCCCTGACCATAAGATTTAGTTTCTCCTGAAGGAATTCAAGTACATCTTCCCTCTCTTCCTTGAGAAGTAGTTTCCTTAATTTTTCAAATGTTATCCTACCAGGGCGCATTCCTTTCTCGATCATCTCTTCCATTAACACACAGGCACCAGGGGCATCTGCATCGTCGCACAATCCATTGACAAGTGCAGAAAAAGTATGCATACTGGGAACAAATTGCTTGCGTTTCATATATTTCCACACTTTACGAGCCATTTTCATCTCATTCTTCTCACAAAACATCTTTATCATCATAGTATACGTGTCAGCATCAGGATCACAAATTTTGAGCATCCTGCGGAAAATCTTGAAAGCATCATCAGTCTCACCTCGAGCAATCAAGCCACTGAGAATAATATTGCAGGTCCTTGCATTGGGAGACACCCCTTTGATTTGCATGTCATTCAGAACCATATAGACATTTTGGAACTTATTTACCTTACAGAAAGCACTAATTAGTGAGTTATATACAGCTACATCAGCCTCAACACCATTTTTTTCCATTTCAAGAAATGTATCTATCGCATCTTCAATCCGATTTTCTAGCCCATATGTATGGACTAAAACACTATAAATAAAGGACGTTGGCCTGCAACCGCTGAAGTCCATCTCCTTGACAATTTCAACAGCCTCATCAACCCTGCCGGCCTTGCAAAGTATGTCAACCATGATCCCGTAAGTCACAATGTCCGGATTACAGCCTACCTCAATCATTTCCCTGTAAACCTCCCTTGCCTTGGGAAGATTTGGAGCCCTTCCCCATCCCTCAATCAAAATGCTATATGTTTTTGAATCGGGAGTAAATTCATTCTTCTTAGTATCGAAAATCTCCTGAGCTTTTTCCACATTCTTCGATTTGCATAGAGCACTCAATAAGCCGTTGAAAGCCGCAAGGTTGGGAGGCACATCGAACTTGTTCATGATATGGAAAGTGTATAGAGTCTCCTCTACTTTTTGAGCCCTAGCATATTTTCTCATGATTATGCAAAATGTCTCAATATTAAGCATTCTCTTGGTTTTCATCTCATTTACAAGATCCCACATCATCTGATATTGCCTTATCTTGGCAAGAGATCCAATCATGGAGTGGTAGGCTCTAGTACTATGCTCATAATTATGTTGTTTACCAGCCCATTCAAAGAAACGATACGCAAGCATTCCAGCATTCTCAAATCTCTTAAGGACATCCTCAACCATCTCCGGTAATACCCTAATCCCACTTTGGTCAAGCTCTATGTCGAGCCCCACCTTTGGACAAGACATCATAATTTTACAAAGTCTTGTCAGTGGATCAAGTTTAACTTCCGTTGTTTCTTTAGAACTATACATTCGGGTAAAATTCATCGTTCTACCACACACTTTCTGATGAAATCGTCGCAACATGATCCTCCTTGTAGAAAGAAAAAAAAAACTTGAAAAGTATCTGAAAAAGTTACAAAGAAACAGGAGTTACCATTCGATCTTTTGGGTTCTTGATATGTTAAAGTTGAACATTGTTCTTTTGTTCATTTTCAGATAGAAGCAATTCACACATATCAAAAGACGAATATAATTTCAATTTCTTTTACAACTCAAATATGAACCTATCTACTTCAACTTAGCTACTTGTACTAGCAATGGGCTGTAGCAAGCACCAAAATCTGAAAAAAAAAATTCTTTTTTCCTCATTTGGCACAACAGTTGGAGGAATATTTCCCTATACCTAATAAACGTACCTAAAGTTAATCTATGCTTGAACATCAGGCGAACGGGAATACCATTAAACAGTTTCGACAAAACAGATGATTTCTTCCTATATGTCTTATCCTTGGTGGATACAGTTACCAGGTACCTGTTACTAGCAAGAGGTCTCGAACACCACAGTTATTAAGTAAATGAAATTCAATAACTTGGTCTCACTAGCTAATCATTTTCGACATGTAAATTCGAGATAACTCATTGAAACAACTAAATAGCCTCTATTCCATTTGCCTAAAGCATACACAAAATCAACTTCAAGCAAATCAAATTTCATACAATCAAAAGAATCCAATCAAATCATTAGCTTACAGGCTACAGCATGTTATACACACAATTCAGTTTAGAACACACAACAACAGCAGGAAAAAAATGTACAAAAATACAATCTTTAACCAACAAAAAACAGCATTTTCCAGTTGCAAAAAATAAAAAATACTACAAATATGAATTTATTACCTGGTAAGATGAACAAAGTTGATGAATTTTTTTCTTCCTTATTCTCAGTAAATTGAAGGTTTATTGCGGTACGCTCCATTTTAGGGATCAAGAGAACCCATGTTTTTACATGGGCCACTTGACCCAACTCAAAGCCCACCAAAGCCCAACTTACAGAATACAGCCCAATTTTCCATAACCTTGATACACAAATCAAATATTTAGCTACGAGAATATCATGTACTAATGCACACGAAAAATTATTCTTTAAAATATGTAAGCATGTCGGAATCAAAACAAGTATTCTCTGAGAATTCTGTTAGAGCGATTTCAATAATTACATGTGCTGATACACACGAAAAACTTATTTGGATTTATGTTTTATTATTTTGAAATGTCAAAATAAATGACAATAGTTAGGATAATTTAATGGTGAGTATTTGTTATCGGTCTGTTTTCAATGTTCCTACTAAATTTTCATGTTAATTAGAGTCTGTTAAAATGTAATAAAGAAAATTAGCATATATTAATACACATGAGAAAACGCTAAATTTATTAAATTTATTAAGTCGGGTTACATGACGTTGAAATGTCAAATATATGTGATGAACTTTGTTTGAACTTAATTTTGTGTATATTAATCCGTGAATTTTTTGTAATTTGACGACTTAATTCTATTAGAGCTCAAATTTTATGGGTTCACTGATGAAGATCAATGAAATGATCTCATTGTTTTTAATAGGCAGAAATTTTTTTAAGTTTATTAGGTCCAAACATATGATATATTTGTATATGCAAAAATGAATAATAAAAATGATTAATGTATGTCATTAAATGCACAATTAGAAAATTTCTACATATACCCTAAATTGATATCTATACTTCAAAGTCCAATAGCCATGCAATTCTAAATGGTTGATGGAAGAAAAATTCTATAATGGAGAAAGAAAATGAGAATATTGCAAAAAGTCTTTATACTCTGAAAAGAAAACTTTGTTATTGTTAAAAACATATCAACATGAAATTGTTCATTGTTTAATACTACACATGTATTAAATTACTCTTTTTTTCCGTTGTTATTTTTTCTTCTTAATTATCAATTTTCAGTATTTTTTCGATTATCCTCACTTACAACTTCTAACTCTCTTATCTTCTCATGCTGAATTGCGCTATTTCCCTAATTCAATTTGCCATTGTGAGCTTCCATCTTTGTAAGTTAATTCTTAAATACATTAAAAATGACCCTTTAAGTTCAAATTTTAATTATGAAATTGCTTTCTACTTTCCATATCATAACTTTTCAAATTCTTCCATTATGAAATTTATAATCAGAATTAAAAGCTAAATGATTTCTAAATTAAAGTGATGAATGAATTTCCATATCATAACATATCAAATTCTTCCATTATGAAATTTATAATTACAACTAAAAGCAATATCTATCTACTCATTTATTAATTTAATAGAGAGACAAAATTGTAATTCAACGCTGTAGTTTGGATCTTCCCACTTATAATAATATATGATATGATTAGATGCACAAGACTTCTCAATCTATCAATTACACTTCACAATCAAAATATCTGAATCCATTCCCCAGTTTTAGAGGATGCACAGCAGCTTTATTGAAATATACCAACTTAAGCTTAGACAGCACCACTAAACATCAGATTAACATACAAAAGAAACATAGAAGGTCCAGCAGAGAGATACAAAAGATTCACCCAAAAGAAAAACAAGAAGATCTCTCTTCCTTGGATGGTACTTCAACAAACGTTTATTTCCATACAGATCGATGGAAACGTAAAAACAAGGCTCTTATTGGGTCCACCACATAAGCAAATCTTTGCGCCTATTTATCTTCTTCTGCAATTGAAGAATTCCGTACAGAAGAGCCTCGGCAGTAGGTGGGCAACCTGGAACATAAATGTCAACAGGGACGATCCTGTCACAGCCTCGCACGACAGCATACGAGTAATGGTAGTACCCTCCACCGTTTGCACAGCTCCCCATGGAGATGACCCACCTTGGCTCAGGCATTTGATCATAGACCCTGCAATAGGAAAAAAAGAAGCAATATGGCTTAATATGTTGAAGCCTATTAGAGCAATTAATTACCATCCTCCTCTGAACCTTTTCTTCTTCTTTTTTTTTGTGAAGAGAAGCCTAGCTAATTAGTTGAGCTGTTCAAATCATTAAGTACCAGATTCCAGAAAGGTGACAGACTGACAGGCATACAAGGTTTCCTTGCAAACATAGAAGAAAATCTACGAAGTGTAGGACTATAAGATTCAGGCTAAACACACTAGAGCCGCACCTGCAGCGGAATAAAGAAAAAGAACTTTGGAGAATTTAGGTGTGATGCCGACGTACAGCTTTGAAGGGATATCTAGGCTTCACATTAGCCGGAGGAGAAGTTCAATCTATCACAATTAATGAAGTCTTAACCTTTCAGCAACTTTTAGGAATTCTTGGAGGAGAAACAGGGGTTTTACTCGTTTAAATGGGAATGTCCCGGGAGGGGCTAAATGCAGGTACATTGATATATGGAATGGGGTGTTGTAGATATGTGAAAAGATGTTACCAAGGTGTAAAAAGCCAATACTTTCTCTAGGATGCAGGTTAGTAATTTATCAATAGTGTATTGGAGCTCTCCCAACCTACATGACGCCTTTTGTTTCCCATCACTCCAAAAATAGGGAAGAGAATGGATATATACCTCAAGGGGGACTTTCTATGGCAATAAAACATAGAAAGTAAAGGGTTCCCTTTAGACAAATGGAAAGTTGTTACTCTAAGCAAGTAACATGGATGCTTGGAGAAAAAAAATATGAGAAAAGAAAATCAAAGCCTTCTCATGAAATGGCTTTGGAGATGCACAAATTCAAAGCCTTCTAATGAAATGGCAATGAAGATGCACTAATGAAGAACTTTCACTATGGAGGATAGGAAACAAAGATAAATATGGTGAGAAAGGCCCCTGAAAAACAAAAGAAGAGATCAACTGCATCTGGGCTTATGGAGCAAGTGTTTGGAAGGCTATTAGAATTCTTTGGCAAATTTTCAGCAACAAAATCAGCTATGGAGTGGGAGATGGGCAACACATCTATCTGGGAGGACAACTGATTGAAACAGGGTGCTTTGAATACAATATATCTGGATATTTTTTCATTATAAATTAGCAATAGAAGGCAATTATTAATGAAGTTTGGTCTACTCAAGGGCGGAATCATAGGAGACTATTAAATGATTGAGAGATCATTAGAAATTGTTGATTTCTATAACACACCAATAAATTCACTGAAGTTAATCAGAATGATGACAAGGTATGGGGGCTATGACACAACTCCTGAAAATTCTCTTTCAAATATTCCTATCAGATACTTAGTAGGGGTCCGGTCATAGATTTCATATATTTTTCAGTTTATTTGAACTTTATGAAGTTGAAGATGAAGTTGCGTTTCGTTATACTTTAAGCAAAGGTGAAAAGAGAACACTCCAACTGAGATTTATGAAGTATACACCTGCCACCTCCCAACAACAACAGGAACCAGTTACTCTTACAATTCTGCCACAGGCTAGGACAGATGGAAAGAATTTTATCTTTGCTAAGGTGTACATAATATATGCATCACTTTTTTTATAATTGAGAAATTCCCTAGGGTCAGTGGCACACAGTTTGAAACTCGCGGCAAATAGGCTCACCCCTCTACCTTTCTCAAGTTAAATACTAGGTCTTTTATGCAACTAGGTTCAAACATATGATGAGTACCTACCCCACATATCACAAGTTGCATTCCTACCACTAGATCAAAAAGCCCTAAGCCTTTTACAACACTTGCTTAGTGCTACATCAAAAAAATTCTTACCTCTCTCAAAGAGCAAGTGAAACATAAACAAGATCTTGTTTTGGGATGGTCAATGGCTCAATGCAAATCAAAAACTTTTAGATCTTACTTATTTTTTATCATGAACTGAAGCAGATTAAGTTACCCTAGTGTAAAGGTGAATGCTAAAAAAATAAAGAAGGATGAAGGAGTGAAAGCAGAAGTCACTGATTTCCTGCTACTCCATATTATTCTCTTTCTTTTGCCCAACACCCCAGCCAGATCCATATGTGATAACCTCACCACTGAAGCTATGTGCCGTTTACGAGTATTTTTATAGGCTCATTCAAACCTAGTTGTTCGCGCTTAGCCCCAACTAGGCCCACACTCTAGTGCGCGCACACACACACACACCAAAAAAAATGGCGCTAAAGCACACACCACGAGCTTAGTCTTGAAGAGCAGAACACTGAACAATAAATATTAGTTTGATCTTGATTGGTATAGTTTTCACTTCATTTTTTTCCGATGAACTGTACGGTTTTTACTTCATAGGTTCATTTAATTCCAGTTCTTACGATACTTCTCTCCCCATATTATTCTCAGTACATAATTTTACCTTTAGCAAAAAAAAACTTCATGCTTATAACTATTTTTCTTCACATACACACATATGTATAATTTTTTCTTCGTAGTCAAGGTAGGGGTAAAGTATGTATGCTCTACCCTCCTAGACCCCATTTATGGGATTACACTAGGTATGTTCTTTTCTTTAGAGTTTTTCGAAGTAACTGTTTTTGTCCTTAAACATAGCAAACCTTGGTTTTTTTTAATGCCTACCCATTTTCTTTTACTATTTAACCTTCAATTTCTGTTATACTACATACATTGAAACAATAATGTATACACCTCGATCTCCTCGAGTTTATTGCATAACATAATACTCCAAAGTTCTATGCACATTGACCGTCAACGACATATCCATTGAAGTACAAAATCCTAGTGATATAGGAGCAACGTGCAAGAAACAATGAAAAATGTCACTAATCCTTTGTCAGCATAGAGACGTGCTAGATAGACATGACGCAGGGAGGGGAACACGGAAGACTACAACATCAAATATATAAGTTGACTAATATGACATGTTAGTCATATTTGTTGACTCGCCTCCAAAGACTTGTGTGAAAAAAAAAACACCACGAAAACTTAAAAGGTGAGTTCTACGCAATTAGACCGGCTTTAATGTATAGGGAAATGTTGGCCGGTCGACAACACCCATATTCAAAAGATGCAAGTAGCATATGTGGACGTTCAGATGGATGTGTGGGCATATTAGGGAAATAAGATTAGGAATGAGGATGTCTAAGACAATGTGGGAGTGGCCTCCATGGCGCACAAAGAGAAAAGCAAGGTTGAGATGCATTGGACCTAAGAAAAGAAAGATGCGGAAACGCCCTAGTAAAAAGGTGTGAGAGGTTGGATATAATAGATATGAAGAGAAGTAGAGGTAGATCGAAAAAGTATAAAGAGGTGATTAGACAAGACATCACACAACTTCAACTTACCAATGACATGACCTTAAATAGAAGGGTATGAAGGTCATAAAAGGTCAGTAGGTAGTTGAGTTCTATCTCGCTTTTCAACAGAATTAGACTTGATGGAAGTATGGTAGCGCGTGTTTCTCGTAGTACTAGTCATAGACATGTAATCTCTTGCTTTTGCTATTTGCTACCCTCTCTTGTCTATTATGTTTAAATTACCGCATTATATGATCGTTGTTATTGTCCTTTTTGTTGAATGCTTTCCTTATCAATTAAATGTTTTCCTCACTATCGTATTTCTTTTCATAACAACTTTCATTTGTTGCTCTTGAGCCATTGAGCCAAAGATCTTTAGGAAACAACTTCTCTACCTCGTGGGTGAAATTTGCATACACTCTACCTCTCCAAACTCCACTTGTAGGACTGCACTGGGTATGTTTTTGTTGTTAACTAAATACCAACAAAAACTAAAGAGTTAAGGAAATAAACAATCCAAAGAATATATACATGTCTTTTTAATCAATATGAATAATCAAATGACTATTTTAGCTGACCATTGCAAAAACAAAAAGACACCACTACTGGGTGGGCAGGCTATAGTCATTACTCATTACACCAAACACAAAAGATGTTGCTAATATTTATGTGCAATTGCCCGTCTTCATTATGTTGAATGGTTACAAAAACAACAATATACCTAATGTAATCCCATATGTAGGGTCTGAAGCTTTATTGGATGCTATCTATAAAACAATCTCCGAATTTCTTAATCCGATAATAAATACGCAACTTCCTTGGTACAAAAATCAAAATGCTCGCCCCTTTGATACCTTATTTAACCAACAAGAATTTAAAATAGGGGAAGACTCATTTTCGATAATTGACATGAACACTCATTAAAAGACGAGCGATGATTTCAACATTTTTGTGTGTTGAAAAATCGGATACAAATTCTTAAGTATGTTCTCACAAAAAATCCACATGTTCTTTAATCAGGGTTCCTAGAACGTTAACAGCAAAACTTTAAAGAAACCTGGCAAGCCACATGTTGCGTTATATCATATACAAGATTATTCTGATTGTCATCCCACTGGGTGATGATCTATTCTGCTCCTGTGAGCTATGTTCATTCTGAGTCCTACTAAAACATTCTACCAATATCATTCAAAGCATGACAAAGTTTCCTCTACATCTCACGTTATTACCTTATACATTATAGCTACAATGCTCGAGAACCTCGTTTTTCTATTACTACACCAAAATCCACCACTCCACCAAAAGACGAGTTTTAAATAACACTATGCCAACCTTCATACCAAAGGGAAGAGTGGGAGACTATGCCAGAGAAGAAACCAACATCCAAATAATCAGATTAAATGAAGCGAATTGGAAAATCTCATGCTATCCTCAATTTGTTGCACTTGATGGAAACATAGCAATAGAGAAGAACGAAACAGGTTTTCATGAAACCAATCGATTGATATTACAAAAATACAATCAGATTTCCCTAAATGCGCTTATATCAAATCCAATTCTACAGGAAAAATAGGATCCAAATATAGACAAACATATGCTTCGTAAACAGATGTATGGGATAAACGTTAAAAGAGGATTAACTGTTAGAATGTATACATACTTGCGAAGAGCAGGGGCCATTTTGTTGGTAAGTGTACCAGCAACAATCATAACATCAGATTGCCTAGGGCTAGGTCTGAAAATAATACCGAATCGATCAAAATCGTAACGTGCAGCTCCGGCGTGCATCATTTCCACAGCGCAACAAGCCAATCCAAAAGTCATGGGCCATATGGACCCACGACGAGCCCAATTCATCAGATCGTCCACCTTAGATATAACATACTCAGCCGGTTTAGATATCCCTGCTGGTGTATTCATGGACGGAGGCTGTGCGCCACCGTAAGTGGCCGGAGAAGAGGCAGGTTGCTGCGAGAGAGATGGAAGTGTCGTGTGGATCGTCGCCGCCCTTTGAAGGAACGGCGCCGTTCCTGTGAGTAGTTTCGCATTTCGAGCTATAAACGCCATTTCTTATTCTCCGGTGAAACTCCGGCTTCTGGAGAATTCCAAAGAGAAGAACAATGAAAGAGGCGGCGATTGGTCTGAGAAATACATACACAGTATTAATTTATTGAATAATACAGATCGGGACACGTGGAACTGATCCAACGGTTACCAGTGGATATGGATACCCGGTTGTAGATGGATATAACCCGGTCTATTGATACTTTGGGCTTGAGAGATATTATACTTTGGGCTTGAGAGATATTTTCCATTGGGCTTCATATTTGGGCCCTTACCTAATTTTTGCAAAAAGAATTGACATAAATAATCGTCCATCGAAGACATTATTAGATAAGATATGACATAATTTTAGAGGATTGAGGATATAATCTTATACAAGAAGGTAATGAGGTCGAGAATAAGGATAGAAGATTAACTGATAGTGCAGTTTTCTCGTAATGGTCGTAGTAGATGTATCGGGTAGTTTCTTTTTTACCTTTTCCTACTTATTATTGTTATAATCTTTTTCATTTGATTTGAATCGAGAGTCTACAAGAAAACAACCTCTCCTTTCTTTTAAGTAAAATATAAAATATGTGTATACACTACCTTCTTCGAGCCTCACTCGTTGGAATGCATTTGATATGGTATTGCTGTAATTTATTTTTCTTCAAATGTGTAGTAATATATATGTTGTTGGACTTACTTTGTACATTGATGTTTTGTTGTCTCTTTTTTTTTTTTTCACTTTTTATGCATTAGTTACTTTTCTTTGAGTAAATAATCTAATTGAATATAAACTTAATCCTACAAAATAGAGTTAAGATTGTACTTTCTTTCTATTTTGTCTAAGTCAGAGTCGGAATTGAAGTTTTAAATTAGACCCCAAATCGAGATTAGAGTTGGGATTTCCAATCTATTAAGTCTTTTAGGTTTTATATTTGGGCCTTCATTTGATAATTATTGGGTTAGAAAGAGTTTGATTATAAATTTTAGTTTGTAAATAATTTTAAGATTCTCGTTCGGAGTAAAATTTATAAATAGATGTAGTTATGTGATTGTATACATACAATTTCATTGGAATCTATGTATTCTATATACTAGTTATATGATTGTATACATTCTTTTGTTTTGATTGTATTTCAACGAATTAATTATTGTAATTGTTGATACAATTGTGTGCATCGAAGTCTATTTCTAATACGTGAATATTGTATGCACCACATTTGTTTTAGAAATAGACTTCTGATACATATATTTACATTTTGCTTGTAGATATATATATGATACATTCGATTATATAAGTAATCAATTTTACTTTTTATATTTGACCATATATGACAATTGAATCATAACCATTGATTAAGAGTATGTATCATAAGTTTGTTTCTCATATGAACGTCGAAATTCTTCATCGACACATAAATTCAAAAATTTTTTATAAAAAACTTAGATAATTTTGAACTTTTTCGCTTAAAAACTCGTTAAATCGATAACTCAATGTATATGATCATGTTGTATACAATATATACAAACGTTCAATTAACTATATCAATATATACAGTTTAAGATTTCACAATTATAAAATTACTTCGACATCAAATATTAAAGTAAAAACACACTATACACATAATGTTTTTACCAGCTCAAACATGTACACGAGATTTACACAAAATCTACTCTATCTTATATTCCCCAAATACAAATAAAATATATTATTACGATACTAAAATAAACTTAAAAAGTGTTTGAATTAGCTTCTTAAAACTAGCTTTAGAAGCTAAAAAGAATCACTTTTGTCATTTTAAACTTAAAAATACTTTTCGTCTTTTCAAAAAAAATATTTAAAATAATTCAATCTAAAACACACTAAATTAAATAATATTCTTAAAAAAAAAAGGAGGAAAAGTTAGATTCTTTCTCCCCTAAGTTGCAAACTTTATTCAGTATAATCAACAAGCAATCCATCTCTCTTCTTCATTATCATCAATTCCAATACATTTGATTGATTATGGCAGATAAGCCTAGCAGAGCACTGGTATTGTACGGTGACGGGTTAGCCCGATCCATTGACCCGTCTCATACCCACCTCCATTCTTTTACTTCTCGAGCTTGCTGTGGCTTTTTGTCTCTTCCTAACTCTCCTCCTTCAGGTCTTTGTCTGATATTTTTAATCCCAAAATTGTTCCTTTTTTGATAAATTTTATGTGGGGTTATGCTATTTTTCATAGTTGATCATTGGGTTTGTGTAAATTGCATGTTTGTTTAGTAGAAATCAGTTTGCATATGCAAGAATTAGGATTGTTTGATGTGGTTTCTTGTTTCTTCTTCAGTCTCCTACTTTATTTTTTTTTTGTTTCTTTTTACCTGTTATTAATCCCAAAAATGTTTCTTTTTTGATAAATTTGATGTGGGGTTATGATGCCTTTTAAAGTACTGAAAACATCCATGTTGCACTTACATTATGTCCAACTTTTGCTAAAGAGTCTTTTTTTAGTTTGGTAACTTCAAGATTGTTTCTTTTTGATATTTTCTATCTGGGGTTATGCTGTTTTTCATCTTTGATATTGGAGTTTGTTGAAATTGCATGGTTTTGAATAGTCTTTGATCCATCTGCATATGGAAGTTTTTGTTATTTGATAACGAATACTAGATGCATATCTAAATAGCATGTAATATTCTGTGAATTGAGTTATAAGTCAATTAATCTCGTGCCAATAAAGAAAAAGAAGTTAATTAATCTCGTTTTGGTGATAGTTAAATGTCTTTAATTGTTTGGTAATGTAGTAAAGGATCCATATAGGCGATGCTGACTAGTTGAGATTAGTTTTTGTTGTTACAGGTACATTTTACTGGTGTCTTTGAGGAGCCTTTTTTAGTCTAGTTAGAGAACCTATAGATACGAACTCCTAAATTGTGTTGAAAGACGAATTGATTAGTGTTGGAATGAAATGGACCAGATGGAATGGAATAAATGCAGGGCATTCATCTAGCCGACTAAGATTGATTGAATATATACTTTCTTGATTGCTTAAATATACCGTGAGTTGAGTTAGTAATATTCGTTTTTGTTTGATCTTGTTTAGTTATCGTTAAATTTATCTGCTTGGTTGGTAATGCCAGAATCAGTAACATTGAAAGACAATCATATCTGGCATTTTTTGTTTTCTAATCATGAAACAGCCCAACTCCAAAAAAATGGAGAGCCAAAAGTTTGCACCTTCCATCTATATGATTCAAAACTTTTATGTATCATATCAAACTCGTAGATCATTTCTTAGACTTGCTAACAGAAGGCCTTGTAATATTCTTCATTTGCACTGTTAAGGAAGCCAATCAGGCACTTGTAGAAATCGAAAAGTCATCAAGGCAGTTGACTCCAAGGAACTGGTGCACCTTCTTTTCTCAACCACTAGCTGAGAATGAAATTATTATTCGTGGAGTACATAGCCATCCTAGATGATCGAGCAGTTGAGAGCAAATATATGTTGTGTAACTAGATAGGAGGATGTTATGTTTCCTTGATCACTTTTATGAGGCAGCTGATATATATCCTTCCTACACCCACTTTACCCTCTAGATAACAATAAGACTTCTCTAAAGAGTGGAATTTACAGAATATGTTAAATATTATTGATGACATGTGGGATGCATCATAACCAATTAAAATTGAAGGGTTTTCCATCCCATAAATTCAACTTTATAGCCTGGTGCCTATGATTTTACTTGTTATGCTATGCCTACAGTTGGTTAGTGTTAGGGTGGATGAGTACTTATATTAATAAGAACGCATGGTGAGTTTCTAAATTTTAATAAATAGTTTTGATGGACAGTGCACAGATTGTTATTACTTTACAGTTCATGCTGGGAAGTCTGATTACATTTTTGTACTTCTTATTTGTCATTTTGGCTTCAGCTATCGTATTATTTGTTGTTAATATTGTTCTTTTCTTCATTGTTTTCAGTCTTCGCTACTGTATTTGTTTTACATACTCATTTTCTGAGAGTCTATCGGAAACAGCCTCCTACATATACACCACCCTCCCCCGGCGCCACTTGTGAGATTACACTCGGTATGTTATTGTTATCTGTCACTTTGGAATTTAACTGGGGATTAGATTGCAGAAACCGAAGATGCAAGAATTGTCAGAGAATTTGCTGAGCTAGTGGATGCAAGTGAAGCTTATCTTGCCCTGGTGAGATGCAATTCTGTGTTTATAGTAATTGCTAAAGACATATATTTCTTTCTTTGCTTAATTAACATAGATTATGCTAAAATACTTCCTCTGTTCTTAAGAATGGGGAAGAATCTTCTGAAACTCAATCTCAGGAGCAGCATGTAGCAGCAACCATATCAGAGAGGTAAGTCTATTCCTGTTTTACATGTTGAACTTCCATCGATATGATATTATTTACATTGTTGAGAAGGCCCTTTCTAAAAAGTTCTCGTTCAGGTTTATGGGGATGAAAGCAGCTGTTATCACTGAAAATTTAAGACTGAAGAGTTTCTGCAATAAGCTTGGCTTCACCGTCTTAGAGCTCAATGAGGTAATTAGTAACATTAATAACCAGGTCGATTCATCTGCCTTAGCCTCTGAATTGTTCAAGTTGCTGGGGTTTCAAGAGGGGAAGACCTTAGAGTCCAGCCAATTTGATTTGGTTATTCTTCATGTTGGAGCTGGTCAAACGACAAATTGCCTCAAAGACTTGGATCTTGTCAATCGGTTGGTTGGTAATTTGGTGCAAATGGCACATCCTGGAACGGAAGTAGGTTCTAGGTTGCACATGTCAGTTTTGTTGAGCTACGGTGCTGTTCGTGAGTCTGATGATTCCACGTTTTCTATTGCTGACAGTAGACAAGAGAATAACTCTAAACTCTCTCTTATTTTCCCTCGTCAAAGTTATACAATTAAAGAAGGAAAACCACGACCGAATGTTAGGTAAGTGCGATTTTTCCACTTCCATTCTATATCATCCATGCATGATGGCGTCTGATGTATTCGTTAACAGGCAGCATTGCCCCATATTAGTGGCCCAGTGGCAGAATGCTGTCACTCGAAAGGATATGGCAGAAGCATATTCATACGAGGATTTCAAAGAGGTATTCAACCAGGTTCCTTTCATTGCTCAGAAACATGCTGACACAACTAAGGAGAATGATTCATGCTCTTCTATACTTGTATTCCTTTTAAAGGCACTAGGCATTTCTAACACTTAGAATTTCTCCTGATTTATCAAGTTTTGTAGAAGAGCAGGCAGAAATTCAAGAACCTTTCTGCATGTCTTTTACAATGTGCAGAGCTTGCATAATCCTTAAATAATTTGAGCGCCATTGTCAATTCTGTTCTGGTTTTATAGTTACTCGTAGTATTCTTGATTTTGCGCGTGATCTCTACTCGTGTTTCTATTACATAAAATACCTTCAAAATTTACTGTCGTCACTAGAGTTATTGTCTGCTACCATGGATATTTCAGATCCTACTAATATTTTGCGCTCTCATTTTCAATCAGCATGGTGCAAACCTTGTGATTCCAACTGATAGATTTCTACATGAAGTGGCATTCAAGCTCTGGAAGGCTCCAAAATACGGAGCATGAGGTAGAAGTGTGGAGAAAACATTGGTAATAGACATTTCAATGTCCTGAATTCAGCTGTCATTTTGGACCTTTGTTTTGATGAAGGGGCTAGATCATCAGTTGAGATGTTTCTGATCACCAGAAACTCCATACTCTTCCCGGAATAACTAGAACTAATAATCAGTCAACCCAACTTTCATCGCATCTCTCTCCCGGTTGTCATTTCTAACTTATTGGGTGTATAATGTACTCTTTTGGGTGACACAATCAGTCTAATTCTATTGTTTTTTTCCTGAGTTATTGTGGTGAAAGAAAGTCTCATTTCTTTTATATTGCATACTGCATCTTGTCTTCTTTTGCCTTATGGAAGAAATGCTCTTCAATCTTGGATTTTTCTTTTGGCTTGCAGAAGAAATACTGTAAATCCCTTTTTTCCCCATAAAAATACACATATTGTTGCCATGCAGTGTGAGAAGGAGAATCTGTGTAATTAGTTAAGTTGCTGCCATGTGAGACCAGGAGGTCACGATTCACGTTGTGGAAACATGCAGGGTAAGACTAGACTGCGTATAATAGACCCTTATGGTCCGGTCCTTCCCTGGAGTTTAGTGCATTGAACTGCCCTATTTTTTTTTATACTAGCAGTGTGAACACTCAAGGCGGTGACTACTGGTCGATGAACTTTATGTAAACCTTAGAGACAGGGTTCAAATGGTAGCTTTTTGCTTAAGCCTTGATATCAGAGTAACAGAGTCAAATACCAGTGAGAGGTAATAGGTATTTTCGATATGAGAGGTATAGCATGTATCTATCTGTTGGAATACGTGAGGTGTACAAAAGTTGACCTAGATATCACCGTTATCTCAAACAGCACAACAAATGAAAGACTTCCATTTTCAAAATTTTGATTTAACAAACATCTGCAGAATCATGACACAGTACCATGTAGATAAGAAGCTAAAAGAGGACAGGTAGCTGTAAATTAAATAAAGAGAACTAGGTAGATAGATAAACGCGATGAAAGAAGAAAAGCAGGGCTCAACGACAAGGAGAGATGCAGGGCAAATCATCAAACACTAGCCTAAGCCTGTTCTGAACTAACATGATGAACCAAGACTGTACTCCATAATCTTTACCACCATCTCTTTTAACTCTTCAAGCAACTTCACACTCTTTTTGAGCCTAAAGCACATCTCAGCAGACAATGATTCTTGCAGGGAACTCTCATGTCCACCACCATGGGATGCTATTAGATCACCAACAACCTCATCATTAATCTCATCAACAAACTTTTCAAGACCCAAAGTAAATTTCCAGTATGCAAAGAACCTCACATGCGAAGTTGCCATTCGATCATTCACAATTTCCATCTCGATCTCATGGTCATCCAACTTTTGAGGACTGAACACAGTTTTCCAGTATGCAGCCATTGTCATCTTCAATTCAAAAGCTTGCTGCACAAGATCTTTAGGCTGACGCCTTATAAACCAAACATCTATTACTCCAAATCCATCGATGTTTATTTTCGATCCTTTGGAATATTGGCAGTACTTCACAAATTTCCTTTTTTGAGCGATGAGACTTCTGTAAGTAGCTACATAATCAGTACTACTAGTGATGTCAGTCAGCCTATCCATCCCAAGGATTTCTCGTATCCCATTAACCGATTTATCCTTCCTCCTGGCAATGAAATTTTGCACTGCCCTCTTAATGAAATGCTGAATTCCAGGGAACTATCAGAATGATGCATCAAAGCTTTGATGACAACTCCTTCTATATAGTTCCACAATTTTCCAACAAACTCCTCTGTAGTTACAGAAATTTCTCTGACCTTCTTCTGCAAAACATCCAGGAAATCGGGCGATCCAGTCTTTTGTGCTTCATCTAAAAACATGAACTCCATGAACAAGTTGTCTACCTTCTCATCAGGATATGTTGAACTTAGCTCAGCAGAGAATTGTTTGAATTCAAGATCAATCAACTTAGACCATTTCTCAGCACATTGCTTTTCAAAATCTCCAATGTACTCATTAGACTCTACTCCAAGAAAAATTTTCTTCAGAGACTCAATAGCCAAACTCTGAATGCGCATGAATGTAGCCAAAGCTTCAGCAACAGAACCCGAATGCTGTGGCAACTCGTTGAGAGCAGCAACATTTACTGCGAGTTTGTCGTTGATGTTCTTCTCAATATCAAGAAAGCACTTGGAAATAATGTTTGCTTGAATTTGCACCAACTTATGTGCCAGAACAGGAATGAAAAGAATAGCATGGGGACTTAATGGTTTTTTATCCCAAAAAATACTGATCTCATCCTTCTAGGTACAGTTAATGCATCAGAAAAACACTTGAACTTCTTCAATAGAATGTGTGAACAGCATATCTAGAGACACACACTTCCAGTATAATTAATGCTTTTGTTTCCCTCAAAACAACTGAGCTGTTTAACTAAGAGACATGTTTACTGCTATTCATAAGAAAGTTGTTTAGCACTCCATCCACATCCAATGTTATGAGATAAGAATATTTCATCACTGTTAGTGTTAATTTTTCACTAGGATAGAGAAAATGAAAAGATATGTGAAATTTCACTATTCCACTTTTAATTATGGGAAAAGGGTCTGATATACCCTCAACTTTGTCATTTAGAGCTGATATACCCTCGTTATAAAAGTGGCTCATATATGCCCTTACCGTTATACAAACGGCTCACATATACCCTTGCCGTTACAAAATGGCTCACATATACCATTCATTT